GGCTGCCCCACCCTTCGAACCGAAACGCATTACTGCTTCACGGCAGAAATAGGCAGGATGGTGGTACCTACCCGTGACGGACATTTTGTGATCTGCAGTAATCGTGCGCTTCTGCTTGAAGTTTACGATGCTATTTCACCAAAACCCTCTGCGACGTAACCAAGTCGCTTTGATATCTTCGACAACTCCTTAACACGAGAAGGACCGTAAACTCAATTGCCAACAACAAATAAAAAAAGACGTGCAAACAAATCTCTTAAGTCATAGTCAGGGAACCGAAAATATAAATGAGCATTTTTGACCAATATAAGCGGAGTGCATCGATGTTTGGACAACACCCTTGGGATCTTGCTTGTATCACGAAATCGATTACGTGCGGAGCCCTCTCACCTTCCTTATATTTGCCAAGTCACTGTCCACGTTCGGTACCCGCACGCTCGTTTCTTACCATCTCAACATTACAATAGATAACACGAAGTGCGTGACTATCAGAAATTTTAATATTATTCACCTATTACGTATGCTGTTCCATCAAAATAAAAAAGATTTTAAATTGAAAATATCGAAATTCACTTTTGAGAATTACGAATATAAATATACACATGCTTAAACTTTATAACGGTTTAGATGAAATAAAAAAAAAGCTATGCTATAACAAATCGTAATTACAATTACAAATTACAACGGGACGCATGGTGTTAACGCATGTGCTTATTGTAAATTATTTTGTTTCCAGTTGAGAGTCAATTTTTAACCTAGAAGATATCTGGAAGAGTAACATAATGAACCGTTATTGCTATTTTTTTAATGATAAGCATTAATATTCTTAACTGTAATTGACTTAAACAATTCCTGTGATAATAATGTGAGGAAAACTATTTCTACAACTCAAAGAGTATGTATGATAATCGTAATTACAATGCAGTTGATACTTCAATTTTAAATATTAAGACCAATGACAACACGTAAGTCGTAATAGTCTTAAGGTAAGACTAAAGAAGCAGATTGACTGATAGCTTTGTCTGCCAGTGAACATTTTCACAGACATAATATTTATAGGACAATCCTTATAAATCTAACATAACCTATACGGTTATAACTAACAGAAAAGTATCAAGACTACAATAATCCTACGAGTATCTAATAAATAAGCCCCCTATCTCCATTTCTCGTGAACCTACGTCACCGTGACCTGGCCTACAAGCGGATTACATGTTCCTTTACCGACAACCTACGGGAATATTCTGTCGACATGTAAGATACACTCACCCCATACGCAGCTCTGTATGTACGTACCTACACACTATATTACGTTACCTAAACAGTAATTATTTTTCCGTATAAAGAAAGAAGCTGGTAATAAGCCAAAATATAAATAATAGTCTTTCATTGCTAATATGAGTATACGTGTTGTTATTAGATATTTTACTGAGTGACATGGCGAAGGAAATGATTATTATCTTTCTTATTTCTTATTGAGCGATCTCAATCTATGCTTATACGGTGCTGTTTTATCTTCAAAGTTTAAAATAAAGTTGACTTGAAATTATGTAAAGTCGGAAGGATCCGAAGAAGTTCCTTAGCAGAAAACGATAAGATTAACTTCAAATAAACTACAGCTTCCATCAGAAATAAGTTTATTAGGGTTGTGCATTTCGAGAACTTTAAAAACAGCTATTTTCTTCGCAACTGTGTACGTTTTGTGCTTATTAAAAAATGTGATAAGATGTTGATTTTAAAAACATTTATGCAATATTTTCCATGTGAACGATTGCCGCAGTATACTGGAGTAGGTGTTTCAATAAACATGGTCGACGCAATCGCCGAGAAAATTGACCGATTCCGGGGAATCCTCTCAGGGAAATGTCATGTAATACATCTTTTTTTTTGTCCGAATGACCGAGTTAAGATTTAATATTTATGGACGAAATGTGAGCCGGAGCGGATGATTTAAAGAGCTTCATGCGAAAATCATTCCTTGCAGATTTTTTTGACCTAACGTAAGTAATGTCCTTTTTGCTTTTCACGTGCCAGTTGTTTCTCTGCACGAGAATAGAAAATATCGAGGTGGGCGAGGGTGTTCCAAGATTTATTCCTCCCTTTTGCAAGTCACTTTGGAAAATGTTTTTTTATTTGTTTGTTTACGGGGAGTCGGGTCCTTTGATGTCGAATATAACAATATTGGAATAGTTCAAAAATATCACTACTATTCTGTTTTTGTTATAAGCTAGTATTATAACTTTTTACTGGTGCTAGGCCGTTTTGTGAGACTACAAGGTTATGTACCAGTACTTAGACTATTTTTGCCGCGACATAGTCATGCGTTTCGGTGTAAAAGGCGGGGTAGCCATTGAACTATAGAACTGAGAGTTAGAACTCATGTCTCAAGGTAGATGGCGGCATTTATAATGTTGTTATCTGTGGGCTCCGGTAACCACATAGCACTAGAGAGCCCGTGAGCTCGTTGAACCCTTTAAGAAAATTAGAAAATTGATGATTGAGTATAAATACTGAATAACGTGATATCTATATATTAATACGTGAAGCAAAAACTTTGTATCCCTTTTTATGAAAATTGCGCGGACGGAAGATTATGAAATTTTCCACACTTATAGAAAATATAGAGAAGAAGTACACAATGCTAATTTTTTTTTAATTATGCAAAAAAGATACATTAAATCAGTAAAGAAAACATTACACACACCATGTATTTGACGCAACACGCATGCATACTATTTATTTATTGTCAAAATTTTGTTTTGACGTCTGTGGTCGAATTGATAATATTGTTTGTCTTTATTAATATTTTTTTATAGTGTAGCCTTGGCGAAATTTGTGATTATAGAAGTATAAAATACAATCATAATAGTGAACAAACTTACAATTCCAATTAATTATAGTCGAATTTCGACTACTGCGGGACCTCTAGTTTTTTTAAATACACACACGACACTCCAAAATAACACGACTAAATGTAAGATTTAATTCTTTTCTAGTTTCGCCCGTCTAGCCGCGCGGTTCCGAACAGGTTCAGCTTTTTCCTTGCACTTTCCTTGTAACAGCTGCTCACTTTGTCTGAACTTAACAAGGTCGAACTAATAGGCATTAGACTCATTTGTTACACCTCCACGCTTCGCCGCCCGCCAAAGAACGTAAAAATGGGATAGATAGATAGTCTCCCGAAATCTCGCTCGAACTCCTAAGTGAAACGGAAGAAAAGACTAAAGAGATTTTATGCTCAATTACTTTAATAATAACGTGAAATTCGTGAGAACTCTCATAATCCGTGTCAACGGAATTGAACTAAGAAGTTAATGATTATTTTATTTATTTATTTATGTACACACAAAAAAGAAGACATAGTACAGAGTAATAGGAAAATTATGTACAAAGGCACTGCTTGTTTCTTTAAGAAATCTCTTCCAGGAGACCTGCGAGAGGATTATGAGAATAATAATTAAAAGTGATGAGTGTGTGTAGAACAGCTAGAATAACAAATACAACATAAGAATTATAGTAATGCACATACACATAGCAAATATTGTTAAACTTAAATACAAAATATTATAAGTAACACAGTATATACGAATAGTATAGAACAATGATGATTCGGTATCAAGTAATTTACAAACTTAGTTCGAAAATTTATTTCTTTTCAATATTGTACCTTTCAATTACGCTACGCTTAGGTAATTGTAGCGCTTAATTGTGTCTCCGAAATTGTAATCACTAATCCTAATTGGCGCGGTCATAAAAATCAAATAAAAATCTTTGAATTAGGGTTGCTCTTTTCACCTCAAATGAGAGTGAAGTGTCATACAAAGCTACAATATATTTGGGGCTCGATTCTGGCCCGCCGCCGTAATCAAAAGGCTCTCACGGGAACAATGGCGCCCACATCGGGCCCGGTCCCGATAAGCCTCGACAATTATACTACATCGACTTTTCAATTATCCAACTGCTCTTCCTCGCGAACAATGCTAGGTTTATTTACGTGTATTAGGACGGTCAGCTTACAATCTCCGTGCCATTTACATTCCCGATAATGATGTTCTTTATTAGCAGCGCCTATTATGAGATCAATTGATATCTGTGCTTTTGTGAAATCGAAAATGACTTTTAATTTTATTAAGATATATCAAAATCGAATTGGACTATAGAATATTTTATTTCATACGTATTTGGTAAATACATAGATGTGTATATCCATCGATGTATCCATCTTGTAGACGAAGGTTTTTTCTTTATTGGACTAGTGTCAATGTTCATTTTATCAAAATTATGTACATAAAATCCTAAAATCAAAATTGACACAGCGATGCAGTAGTTAGCGCCACTGACTATTGCACCCAAGGTCGTGGGTTCGATTCCCACATCAGGAAAATTTTGAGTGACGAACAAGTTTGTTTGCTCTTTTTCTGGATATTTATTATCTATATACGTATGTATTTAAACGTACATAAGTATGTACGTAAGTCTCTGGTACACATACCACAGTGTATCCTAATGTGGGGGGGTTAACGTGCGTCAAATGTTCAAAAAAAAATGTGAGCCGTCACGCGACGCCTTGCAGATGTGAAACATCGACATTATTTTGTAAAAGTAATATGCAGAAAAGAACAGATTGTGATAGGAACTAAATATGTCATAATGACAAAATAAAATATTACGACAATTTTTTTTTTTTTTTCAAGTAAAACACAAGTTATGTGTACTATACATAAGTGTAGTGTAGTAAACAACACTGCATCATACACTACGCAGTATACACTATAGGTATCCGAGCTCAGTGTAGCGAGAGAGATGGCTTAACGCCGGATCGAGTGGGAGAAAATCGCACAGTCGATTGCGCATGGCGACGCGTCGCCACGGCATGTGTCGCCACGCCAGAAATCGGTTTTACGTGCGGCTATAGATGTTTCACATCAAAAATTAAATCAGTTATAAATTCGTTATGTATTTTGGTTAAGCTCGTATTAATTTTGGTTTTCCTTCGCCAGGTGAAACTGGAACAAAATGTCGGCAAGCCGTCTCGAGTCATTCACATACGGAACATACCGAACGAGACGACGGAAGCGGAGATCATACAACTCGGATTGCCCTTCGGAAGAGTCACCAACGTTCTAGTGCTCAAAGGCAAAAATCAGGTACAACAATAATTTGTTTACACACATTTATGGATAAGCGTAACTGATAACTGATAACTGATTTGCCACGTACCATCCGGCTATGGAATGAGCTCCCCTCCACGGTGTTTCCTGAGTGCTATATTTATATTTATATTTACTAACAACCAAACCACGTTAACCGGTCCCGTGATAAGTTCGTAAAGAACTTGTGTTACAGATACCAGATAACGGATATAAATGTAAATTTTTTATTATACACATACATATATTTAATATACATCCATAACCCTGGAAAAGACATTTATATTTATCATACAAATATCTTCCCTTGGCGGGATTCGAACCCGCGACCCCCTTGTGTAGAGACCATGTCACTTACCACTACACCAGACGGCCGTGACGCTATGACATGTCCTTCTTTAAAAGAGGCTTGTGGAACACTCACCATCAGGTGAGGTCAGGCCGTATGCTTGTCTGCCTACAAGGGCAATAATAAAAAAATAAAAATTAGCTCAGGCTTCTCTGTAAAACGATCATAGCTTCTGACGTCATAATATGACGTAATTACAATGCAACTTGGCATATCTTCATGAAACTTCTATCCTACCTAAATATTAGACACGAGTAAAGAAAATGTCAAGTCAAATTATTGTCTTCAACGCTAGAGCTACGTCCAGCCAAAGTATACTTTAGCTTTGTCTGATATTAATAATGCGTATAATATTTTCTTTTCTATTTGAATCGGTACTTTGTTCACAGTTACACCGGTTTCTCGAGGAAATCAAACTCAGTCAATATTTTTCTAAAATAAAAAAAAGCGTAAATAGCTTCTTATAACATCAGCCTTTGAAGTCTCATCATCGTCGTGATAAATACCGTAATTACTGTATACTTGCGGAAGCATTTAGTAAAAAACTGTTTATTTTTTTTATTATTAACTGATACTTTATTTATATAGATGCCTTACTTCAAATTCAAGTACAGTAACCTAATAAGTGCACATGCGTGCGATGTCTTATATCTCAGTCGGCATTGTTATCAAATAAGCATCTATATTATACTGCTTTTACACGAAACGAATTGTCGTTAAATCAAAACCCAAATAAAGTACTGCCTACAAGTAAAACAATATCCTTTAACATCAATCTCTGCCCTAGCAATTAACCTGGAAATAGAAAACGGCGAAAGGCTCTCAGGCTAAATAATGATGAGGCGCCCGACTAACTTTTATCATGTAACTGATCACTTCCCTCATTTAGTAAATTAACTCGGTCATGTAACATAGCTACTCTAGGCACAATGGACGTTGCGCCGGAAGGCACAACAAGTGGGTGGGGCGCTCCGCAAATAGGCCGCTAGTCATTGTGACACCTCAGCCTACGTGATTTTACTCTGCTTTATTGAACAAAAATATATAACGGAGACAGTCTTCGAGATATCATCGCGAAAAAACTGACGCAAACCCTACGGCCTTTCTGAATTCGAAGCATCCGGAAATCTTGTAGGCAGCGGCTTGACTCTGCCCCTGGCATTGCTGAAGTCCATGGGCGACGGTAACCACTAACCATCAAGTGGACCGTATGCTCGTCTGCTCATAAGGGCAATAAAAAAATTTACTAAAACCAATACGCCAAACTGTATGAACCTATTTAAAAACATCTCTTATACAACATACTTCAATAATCATTATACAAAAACATTAAAAGCCAATATTTATGATATGAAATTCTAACAATGGACAAGGAAACATTACCTCTAACTATTCCAACTATCTGGATATTCATACGAAGATGCCGTTGGTGAGCAAATATTCTAATATACGATACCCCATTGACCCAAATGTGTTACTTCTTAACCTGTTAGTTAGCGCTCTTGCAAAAATTTAGAGCTAAATTAAATTTGCAGCTGCTAAACGTTTTGTTTTTAAACAAAAATTGCGATTGTTGACCTTTCTTGTTATTATTTTTTTATTGCTAAAGATAAGTACACAGCCTACCAGATGTAAAGAGTCACCTAAGCCCTAAAACATAACAATCATGCCGCCATCAGATAACACAATCTCAAGAGAATTGTTGAACTGAACTGATGATTACTTCACACAGTAGTAAAAGTTATCGTTGACAATACACGATCCGTTACCCTAAATAGCAAAATAGTACAGTAATAATTAATTTTGATATCGTTGTGGCCTAAAGGATAAGATTCTCGGTTCATACGTAGCGAGCGGTGTGACCATGCCGATGCTCAAATCTCGCGGGCAGCTACCAATAATATTCGAATAAAATTTGTACTTAACAAATGTTCAAGAAAGACTTCCACGGTGAAGGAATAACTGTAATAAAAATGAAACCTGCAAAAATTATAATTTTCGGAATCCGTGGTAGAGCATCTTGTAAGCCGGCTTGGGCATCATATCACCATCCCTGCCTATTTCAGGCTTGGAATAGTAGTGCGTTTCGGTTTGAAGGGTGCGGCGGGATATTTTAAAACTGAGACTTAGAACTCATGTTTCAAGGTGGATGGCAGCATTTACGTCGTTGATGTCTATGGATTCCGGTAGCCACTTAACATCAGGTGGACGATCCTCCATCGATGTAAACGAAAAAAAAAAAGTAATATAATAATATGTACGTGTGATGTAAATAAAGCCGTCACGGGTAATCATATTTTCGAAGAAATTACGTAACATCCATGTAACCGTATATTACACATTTTGATGATCAGAGATTCTGCATCTTATCGTTTTATAGCCAATTTACGTTTATAGCCCGGCCTCGTTACTGTCATACTTCGATTAGTTTCAAACAATTTCATTATTCTATTGACGATATGACATAACGATGTTGTGGAACACACATTCCAGTTGTCATAAACCATTAGTGAAATTGAACTAGATCGTATTCCGCATTTAATTAGAGTTTGTATTGTAAACCAAATCAGTATCCGAAAATTTATTTTAATATTGATCCTCTGCCATACGTAGCAATAATAACATTATGATACTTTTAGAGCATTCGCTCTATTAGACACAACTGAAATTTGAGCTTCTTGTAATCGATAGATTTGTAAACCGTTCGTCCACTAACGCTAATTCAAAAACCCTAATATCTGAACGATGTTTTTATAGCTTAGTGGACAAGCTCAAGGTCCATCTGGTAAATGATTACTAGAGCCCGTAAAAACTAACAACTTTAATGTCGTCACCCACCTTGAAACACAAGTTCTAAGTTCTAAGTCTCATAGCTCGTAGAGGATCGTAGCTCCTAAAACTCCTCAACGACTTTTACCTACAGGAATATTTATGGCTTCAGAAGTGTGTTAAAATAACGGATGCCTAAATATACATTTATTAATCTATTCACAAGAAGCACTAAATTCATTTAACACTAAATTAATATAATTCGTTTTTTTTTGACGTGACAACGTCTTAAAATTCGATGGAGCCGGCTGCAGGCACGAAAAAACATGACTCATGCGGCGTTACCTCGCTCTGAGGCGTTCCATTTAAGGCTTGTAGTGCAAGCGAGAGCGCGCAACGAGCGACAAAGAGGCACAATCGGCCTCCACGTTCGGCAGCGTTCAACATCTGTCTCTCTCCTACTTGAGTGAATGATGCATCCGCGTGGACAGCTGCTATACAATAATACATTTACATGTTTTCGTCAAGTATGAAGTTCAGTGAAAAGTGAATGTGGTGTTAAATGTTTAAAGCAACGATAATTGCGATAATTGAAAAAATGAAACCATTCCATCAGTATTTTCTTATGACGTTGTCACGTTCCTATCGTCAGTAAACCGACTTTACAGACAACTAATTTTATTTCATTACACCCAGTGCAAGTATTAATGTTAACTGACCATACAGATCTCGGAATCGTATTTTTCACGTTTTCAATCGTAAATTTTTAAACGACAGAAGCTTCCCGACTTGAACCCGAAAGTGAGATTGCATCTGAAATTATATTTAGCGGAAATGAAAGAGGAGCGTTGACGTTTAAAATCAATTTGGGTCGAGTAGGGTTCACCTCTGAATGTAAATGGTTGGAGGTATCTGTATCTATCCGATTGTGGTTTGATGATTGAACATTAAAATTAATAAAACTAACAACATTGACGTTGCCGTGCTCGATTTACTTCTTCGGGGATGAATTTTTTTTAGGTACAAAAAGCATGATTTTTTTATTTATTGTTTATTGCGATTTGTGAAATGGTGGAATAAAAAATGGTGAATATTCATAATAAAAAAAACTAAGTCCACAAAAGTGACCATACAGTTTAGAGTCAATACGTAAATGATAATTTAAAAAAAAACAGACTTACACATACATATGTGCCAAGTCCCTGAGGTTAGAGGTTAAATGATACATTTCGAACGAATTACAGCTACAAATTAAAAGTTACGTATTAAATAAACTGCACTGACAACGTTCATTACAGGGGGCGACGCATCAAGGGGCATGTTGACATGATCACCCTAGTGCCAAGTACTTCCCAGGTCATAACGCGGCATCCAGTTTGTTTTACGGCGACTTTTACGTCGGGACAGCCGCAAGGGCGCGTGCAACGACAAATTTACGGTCTCCCACAGACAAATTAAAAACGAGTTAGTTTACAACCGAGAAATAAAAGGAAAAATCTTATTACGAGTCCGGACGCTGCCGTGACAATGTTTCCCGGTCTAATAAATAGTTCGTATGACGTCTATCCAATATCTCCGTGGAGAAAACAATTTCTCTTACACCAAGAAATATGACGAGTCCCTTTTTATGAGCGTTCGTATTCTTCCAACTTCTTTTTCCTTATAAATTCTATTTAAATGTTGTTTATTTCAAGCAAATTAAAGCACCTAAAAATGACAGTCGTTATAATGTTTACCGAGATTCGATAGATGATGAAAAATGTCCTTGACAATGTGTGGCCACGCTCCCGGTCCAGTTACAAAGGCTTTTTGGAGAGGACGGCAAACACTGTAAGAGTGGGCCCGACAATCTGCTCCACTCTCAGTGATTAAACTCAAAGAGCCATTGACACTATTTTACGATCGGACGTATCGTGACAAGTACATTTTATCCATCGATATTAATTTATATCGTAGGATAAAATCCTGATTGAATGGAATATTTCGATTTTAATTTCCAATGAAATCAAGTACTACACAATAGTGAATTCAGCCGTTAAGGTTGGACTATTGTAGTTTGCTTATTTTATTTTTCAATATTAAAGCGGTAGATTTCCTTTTCTTCGTTTTTTTTGGACCCGGGGCTGAATCACCTACTAGGTCCCCGCGTCTAGGGGGCGCCCGTAATATGTGGAACTGGATGGCCCACAGATTTTGGGAGCGGACCACAGGCCTATGAGCTGGAATTTAGGGCCCTACCTACTAAATTACTCCCATAGACTCTTGCCCAAGCGTCCGATCTCCTAAGAGGTCCAAAAAAAAACAGTTTCCACACATACAAAATAAAATTTAACAAATGTGATAAATTTATTCATCGTGTTGCTAAAATAGGTAAATGCTTTTGAAATTGCGGATAAACACACACTAGCAGCGGTTTGTTTCGTGTCAGTATTGTCTGATGCCAGAACCAGAAATTCTGCGGTCTGGAACATGCATGCGATGGTAACTAAATTTTACCCTCAAAATAGCCGTTCGAAATCATAATGTGCTTAGCATCGGCACAGAGATTGCAGAGTATCGGGCCGGTGTTGTTTGAGTCGGTATATTCACGGTCTAAAGAACTGAATCCGATTTGAGCTACGTGTTTTCAACGAATACAGACCGAGCTGAGGTGCACCGAATTACACCTATATTGTTTCACAGCACTAACTACACCAATAGTACCAGTAACTAAAACGTTTCATTAGTTTATGTTTCCATAATATGTGCGAGTATGGAATAATGCGTTTCATATGAAATTGATTCAATTTAGTACAGAAGCTAAAAACATTGCACTTGAATGAAAAAACTATTGAACTATAAAAGCTATTTCTTTTTCTTCATCATCCTCCATCTTTAGTGTGTCATCATCAGTGTAATTGAATGCTGGGAATCATTTCCGAACTTTGCTCTTTTTTTCGGCATTTAATATATTAACATACATTAAACTCGAAGGTATTAATTAGATTTGTCTCCAGTATATAGTCTCTGATTCTCATAGTATAGTTTCCATGGCGAATCTTAAGGAATCTTAGTTTAACCCGGACGACTTTTCATTTATTTTTCATTTTGTGCAGGCGTTCCTTGAAATGGCAGAGGAGATATCTGCGGTGGCTATGGTCGCGTACTTCGGAGGATGTGTAGCGCAGTTGCGTGGCCGAGCGGTTTACGTTCAGTTCTCCAACCACAAGGAGCTAAAAACCGATCAGACGCACAGCAATGCCGTAAGTATAATCTAGAACTAAATTTTTAAACTACTATTTGAAAAGACTCCTAAATCGGAACCTATAGGGATTTCTGGTTGTTCTCTCAATTAATTAATTTCAATTAATAATTCAATGAAATAATTGGATTTATCACTGAATGTACCTATTCAACAACACGCGCATTGTACAAGAAATCAATGCTTGAAATCCTAACATAACCACATTTCAACTCTTTTGTTATGGTCAATGTGGACGATACTTAAACACAAACGAGATGATTAAGATAAACTCTTTAATGAAAAGGAAAATAGTTAATCCGATCCTAACTGTTGATTTTCATTAAATTCTAACAAATCAAACCTCGTATATTCGACGCCTAACAAGGTAACCATAGTTCAATTAGCGCCATCACAACTACAAGCAGATTATCGTGTGGTACGCGATTGAAACTAAAGGCCGGCTGCCAATTTGGAAATACACAGTTACAAAAGCGGGGCTCGCAGTGGACCTGTTAATTTAATCGTTGTTTGGGACATCAAGAACCCGAAATTAAGATAACAGTATTCAATAAACCCTCGTGTCGCTTCGGAACGTTTTGGAGGACGCTGTTCGGATTTGATTGAGTTACGAACTATAACCGTTGACTGTCTGTGCGTTTCACCCCAGTCAGAGGACGGTGCGTGTCCTGACTCTTAAATGTACGTTGACGTCACGCTCGAGACAATCTCGCTTCCCGAATTACAATTTAATCTTCACTTTAACACCATCTGCTAAATCCAGGGGTAATTGATATTCACGAGAAAAAATTTGGTCGTTTCATTGTTTAAGTTTTCAATGTTTATTAGATTATTTTGTTTTTTTTTTCTCGATAATTAACATAAATTAATACAGGACAGAAAACTTTTTCGTTGTAGCATCGCACTAATAAAGGTTTACGGTTCAAGCGAACCCGTAAAAGAATTTCCCCAAAGGTTTACTCACTCAGAGGAAATCGATAATTTCTGTAACAAAACACCCAATGGGAGGATTAATTAAAACGCTAAATTGCTTTCGTTTATCCATGATACCTATCAAAAACAAACACTCAATCAAGGATCGTTAATAATATCATAAGATCATTATAATTATACATAAGTTGCCTTGAATTAGGAAGATCTTGGAATTACGTTAACAAAATTTCAAATGCCAGCCCTTCCTCGAAAACAAACTTATTCTATAACTGGAACACAATTTAGATTGGTGTCAATTACGTCAAATTAAATCAACATTCAATATTTTCGGTTTCCTTTTTATTTTCATCGTCCTGTTTCGGTTAAATCAACGTTTTTTGTCCCGTCAATATTCTTACGTTAAACATTGTCGAACAATTAATTAATAACATCACAATACGTGGTTGTTTGTTAAATAAATAGTTACGAATTATTTGATCTAATTGCCAGCTATGCAAACAACGGTTTGTGTCAATACAATGGCTAATTAATGTGATGATTATACTGAAAACGGATACAACTAGGTGTTTATTATCTGTTTGCCCAAATCCGCAAACCCTTTATGAGGCGTTGTGTAAATATTTACGGTAGTGTAATGCTGGTTTCTGAAATACTTTACTGTGGCTTTCGGATTTAATTTGAATTGAAAACGTTACATAAAACGAATTTCATGTTTTAATTAATGTCACTGATCTTATTTTTTTATTAACAGCGTAATTTTAAAATGTGAATATTCCATGAGTTTGTCATAGAGCATCAAGTATCTGAGCCGCTATTTTGAGTAAAGGCCAGAGTAATTTGATACGGTACTGAAGATACTATTTCTTTCATTTGTGGTATTATTAGTATTTTCCTACATAAATCTCCTTTTAAATACTACTATAGCAGTGATGGCAGGGTGTGTGGCGTATCCAGACATGCTGGTTCCACCATCTGGTTGCGAAGTATTTGTCCATTTCGACTCAAAAGAGTTATTGTAAGGCAATTTATCCTTTGATCAAATATTTCAACATTTCGATATAAGATTCACGCTTACCCTTCAAGAATTTTTCTTACCCATGTCCTTAATGGATTTAGGCTACTATTTAATTTCTGGATATGTTTGTTTATTACAATATAACTGGAAAAAATGAATGTTTTTTTTTAATCGCTTAGATGGGTGGACGAGCTTACGGCCCACCTGGTGTTAAGTGGTTATCTGAGCCCATAGATAACTACAACGTAAATGCTGCCACTCACCTTGAGACAAGAGTTCTAGGGTTTCAGTTGTAACAGTGTAATGGCTGCCCCACTCTTCAAACCAGAAATGAGCAGGGTGGTGGTACCTACCCATGCGGACTCACAAGACGTCCTACCACCAATAAGTAATGTCGTATGATCAGCAATTTAGCAACAAAGTAGAGATATATTGTTAGTAAATTCGTGCATCAAACAAAATATTTACCACTGGGATTACGGGAAATGTTTGTGTTAGTGCATTCGTTGCGTCCCCATTGCAGTTTAATCAATTACGTATGTATTATGCCCATATTGCAGCTGGATGATTAGCTTACCAATGTATTAATTGATTGACCAAATATACAAACAAATGGACTGCATGAAGCTACTGACAGTTTTACGATTGCAAAATGTACATTTCGATGCGTTTGCCGGTAATAGGAGTCAAATGTTGAAATGAATGATAAATTAAGGTATGTACATGGATGGGAAGAAAAAGGGTAGTAAGCAGCTTAGGTCATTAAAATTTACATTGTTTTTCAACTATCACGAAGCAATTTGGATAGTGTTGAGTCATCTTTAACCACAAAAATTCTATTCATAAAACCTCGGGATAGTTGTTACAAACTATTGCTTTAATGTGCCCTGATTACCTATCTACCTGCTTTGTGATATAAAAAGTAATGGATAACAACTGCACTACACTGCAATTTCTCAATAAAATAATAAAAGCTCTCTGTGGTTTTAAATATTTATTTTGTTTATTATTTTAAGCGGGTGGTTGAGAACCAATAAAAAACTATATGTTTAAGTATATATATTATGTACACATCAAATCAGTTTTACGGATGAGCTCTTGTTCCAGTAACACATTTAAAAAATTGCCCGTCAAAATGGATATCCGCTTGATTTTCAGTCATGACAACGTATAGGAATATATCGAAGTCGTCGTGGCCTAAAGGATAAGACGTCCGGTGCATTCGTATGTAGCGATGCACCGGTGTTCGAAACCCGCAGGCGGGTACCAATTTTTCTGATGAAATACCGACTTAACAAATGTTCGTGAGTACAAACGTAAGAAATGTAACAAATTTAACAATAAATGCGTTTCGATTTGAAGGGTGGGGCAGCCGTTGTAACTATACTGAGACCTTAGAACTTATATCTCAAGGTGGGTGGCGCATTTACGTTGTAAATGTCTACGGGTTCCAGTAACCACTTAACACCAGGTGGGCTGTGAGATCGTCCACCCATCTAAGCAATAAAAATAAATAAATAAAAGGTTTTTTTATAAAAAATAATGGACTAAGCCTTTTGTACAAATTTATCTGTTTTTTGATTGTTTTTTTGAATGTAAATTGTGTTTTGGTGTGCAATAAAGTGTATTCTCTCTCTCTCTCTCTCTCTCTCTCTCTCTCTCTCTCTCTCTCTCTCTCTCTCTCTCTCTCTCTCTCTCTCTCTCTCTCTCAGTTTCAAAATGTTAACTACCTATGTATTTTTAAAATGTTGAATTACATTGAAACTGTTAAGGATATAATAATCACTACGCAATTGAAGGGATAATTTCTCACCACTACTTTGATGGTAAACTATTAAGATGATTAGTACAATGAACAATCCAATGTTACGTTCATAAATTATGTTCAAACGGTGAATTAGAAAAGAACACTAAAGTTATTGATTTCCACACTGACCCTATGTTCAAAAATTTGCATTTTATCGATTCATTTATTTTCTTAAGAAGCATTATATTCGTCCGAGAGCTAATCATCATAAAATGCAATACATAAAGTAAGGTAATATTTTGACGGGATCTGTCATCTCCATTTCCTGAGACGCCACGTTCAATGGTTCTTCATAACGACGTGACTCGTGCTTTGTCGTCGTCTCGTTACCATTATCAAGGACTCATTTCCCGAGGCACTTTTCACTCACAGATGCTTATTTAAATTTTAAAATTTTCCTAACAAAAAGACTTCAACCAAATTGATGAATGAGATTTTTTTTAAATAACAACACGACAATTCTAAAGTTCAGAGTTTATCTACGATATAAATGTGTGTGCATTTACTCTTAATAGATCACATAATATGTGCTAAAGATTTACTTCGTCCTCACAATTCGGGAGGTCTTTGTATCGCACACTATTAAAACTTATAACGAGGGAGTTACGACGAAAAGACAGACTACGCATTGTTACAGAGGTTCACATGAAAAGAGCCGCCGGGAATTACGTCACGTTTGTTGTTCGCCCGATGTACGTTCCTAGCTAAACGTAGTGTTATCCTTCAAATTAGAAGTAGAAAAAATATCAAGAGTGCACTCGTAGTGCGCGCGACACAAAGCTTTGATCAATCGTGCGATACGAAAGGTTTTTTGTGAAGCCGAACGAAGCATTCGGAACTATTTTGTGAAGACGTCGTCAAGTCGTCTGACTATAGTCGCGGTGAAAGATTGCACGTCCTCAGAATAAGAACTTTTCAAATAATTCCTGAGCCCGGCACGGCACAAGCGTCGGTGACATGGAAAATATTTTTGATCGAATCGCATACCCGTATCCCTGTTGCGTGCTCGTTTTATGAATTTTAGAATTTTAAAGTGAACTCACCGGATGATTTCCGTATGCATTAATACTTAAATCGTTTCGGTATTGCATAGCGATCGCACAATATAGATCGGGTGGTAAAAAGTGGGAACTATCGAACAGCATGCAGCAGCCGTTGTAACTAACTCGAGACCTTAGAACTTATATCTCAAGGTGGGTGGCGCATTTACGTTGTGGATGTCTCTGGGCTCCAATAACCACTTAGCACCAGGTGGGCTGTGAGCTCGTCCACCCATCTAAGCAATAAATAAAAAAAACACTGTTTAGCCTGGTCCTTATGACAAACGACTTGTTTTCTTTTATTAAGCCTGGTGTTAAATGATCACCGGAGCCCATGGATATGTCAAGCCACCACCCAGCTCAAGACTTAATGTCTATGTTCCAATTGTATTGTAATTACGTAAATTAATTTTTGTGTATTTGATTATTGTTATTCGATCGTTCGTCGTAGGAGTCACTTGTGAACATTAAACTTAATTAAGGTGAGTTCATTAAATATTTCATTAAAATTATTTGGTATCTGCCTGTGGAGTTTGAACACTGGCATAGCTGCATCGCTCGCTATAAGTACAGCAGGCATTTTATTCTTAACTTATATTACGCCATTACGACTTCATTTAATTTCTTGTTGGCGGTTCTTCATGGTAGAAAACGGATAAGTAGTCGCCATAAGTCTGCAAGTCGTAGAATGTAACAGGCTGCGCTTCTCAAGCATTAAAAGTGAGCAATGGCGGCTTTAGACAGGTGAAATAACCACTTTCAATCTTCAAAATTTCATAAGTTGTCCATCAAACATCAAACATCCCTAACAGAATTAAAATTTCACAACATAAAACACAAAACTCCACAGTAACGAAATAGAGAGTTAAGTTAATATATTTTAATAAATTTTAAAAAGTCACAACCTTTTGGTACATAGGACATGAAAAATACGCTTTGCAGGAAGACATAATCCTTCATAGGTTTCGTAGAATAGATATATCAAAGAACATATTATATTATTTCGAAGGAAAACGGTAGAGCGAGAGCAAGTCAACGTGAATTTGTTCAGGAGCCTTTGCCGTCGGCGGCAGGCTTACCATGACACGGTTAAAGCCTTATTTTTGTGTCTGGCCTGCCCGCTTGTCAGGCCGTCGTCGGGCACAAAGCCATGTGGAAATATAGGATCAAAGTGCTCGCACCCCTTGCATGCGATCGTAACGNTTATATTATTTCGAAGGAAAACGGTAGAGCGAGAGCAAGTCAACGTGAATTTGTTCAGGAGCCTTTGCCGTCGGCGGCAGGCTTACCATGACACGGTTAAAGCCTTATTTTTGTGTCTGGCCTGCCCGCTTGTCAGGCCGTCGTCGGGCACAAAGCCATGTGGAAATATAGGATCAAAGTGCTCGCACCCCTTGCATGCGATCGTAACGCGTAAACACAACGTATTTCACTCGCCTGTCATTACGCTTTTTTTTCATTCATAACAAAACACGGAGTCGGGTGACGTTTTTTTTTTGTTTTTTTTTTTGTTTCTGTGTGAGCAATTTATTTACGTCTTATCTGCACGTTAACGTTTCGGGGTTCCACAATGACGTCCACCCCTACATTACGAGGTAACAAAGTAACGAATTGTTCTGATGATACAAATAAGTTTACGGCCGGCTTTTGTCTGCTGTGGTCAATGTTATCTGTTAGTCTTGGGACATTCGAAGGTGGCTCATGCGTGCACGAGATAACTCATCAGCTTCATAACACGTTTTATTGTTCCGAATATATAGACGGAGCGTAAACATTGTTATGATGTAAGCAAAATTAAGTTTCATATACTTAAGTGCGAATTAGAAACAGAAATCATGATTTTTGATTCGTCTACCGACTATCGTCAAATCTAATGCCGGCAAAGCAATATAGAATTAGAAAGGAGGTTTTAATAAAACAATACTGTAATGCCAGTAGATACTACGACTGATAGTAGATATGGAAGTAATATATAAGCAATTTGAGGTGACGGAGATTGACTTCCACTTTCGGTGCTTTTAGGCATTTGAAGCACCGGTCACATTTCCTACAAACACAACCTACTGACTTTCTAACCGAATCTTCTCAGGAGATCGCGAAAACGTATCCTCCACGTACATACTAAACCTAAATCTACTAAAAGCCAGACCCAAAGAATATTCTATTTTCTAAATAAAATTAATAAATTCATACCTACCTTCACTTCCCCTTCATTCATATTCGTATATTATTAAAGCATATTCATTATAACCATATACATTACCATGTACAATATTAACGTCCCTACTTACCTTCGACTGCCGGGACACACAGATGTGACAGGTAAACCTGAACAAACTCTTAGCAACCCAAAAACTTTATACGTTAAATGTATTATGTGCTGGGAGCCCGCGAGACTTAAGGCAGTTATCTTAAATAGGTATACTTTCAAACATACCGAGAAAATTTACTTACTGCCGACAATGCCTGCTTAAAAACGCGCTAATACGATATTAATAGACAGGAAAGGTTTTTAATACATATTTAGTTATTTAAAATTAAATTAAAATATACTTATTTATTGAATACGAAAATAACGAAGTTATAAATTACAATTTAATTTATATTTTTTTAATAATAGATAATAATATATTTGTGAGCGGTAGTTGAAAATTTAAATTACCTGTGATTAAACAAGTATAGGCGTTAAGCCAGGGCTTTCACACATCAGTTCTTTTACAATGAAAATACAATACAATTCTATAAAACTTTAACATTACTTGTCTATTACAAAAAGCCACGTCTTAGTTCTTACACAATTAGCCATTTTGTGATGGTCATAGCAACTACAACTTCTTTTATACAAACAAATGTAATTACTGGGAAACAATTTTCAAAATATGGCTTAATATTCACAATACACATTTTAGTGATTGTTACATGACTCTGACATTAATTTATTTTACATAAATTACTTTTGACTATTTTAATATAAACTAACATGGTTATTAACCAGCCTAATAATAGATGGCGCCAACAACATCATTGCATAACAATACTTAATTAAATTATTACTGTTAATTGTAATATAAATTATTATTAATATTTATGCTTTATTCATATTTAGCTATTTATACAGTCATTTGTGTTCTTAAGCATTAATATAAACGAACATCTTAAGATCAAAACAGTGTCTGCTAATTATTAAATATGGTAGAATAACATTTACATCTTGCTAAGAATAAATAAACAATAACATAGAATAAACTAAACTATATCTGTTCATGACGATGGTGAAGAAGAAACCACGCATGACAGAATTTTGATAGTTTTATTTATTTACTTGCAAAATACATAATATTATTAACAAAGATTGACGCGTGTCACGGCTGCTGGTCGACCAACACGAATCTTAGGCCGCGGGCGCATCCTCCTCCCGCTGCCTTCCCCCGTCCCCTCTCTCGCCCTGAACGTCGTGAACAATATCTTATTATGTTAATTATTGCCAATAGTGGCGTTTGCGTCCATAAATACGTATATCTCTTTGATTTACCCAAATCCCTGTTTCGGGTATGACGAAAAATATCTTAGGTCTAAAGACACTGTAAGACACCCGGTAAAGACTACCTTCTCGTATCGAGTGATGCAATCAGGCCGACCTTCAAATCCTGGGTCAGACGTCAAGTACTTACGGAACGTGTTCACGAAAAACTTTTCCTATAAAAAAATAACACGGCGTTGTTTGTACAAATGCTGGTTGAGTTTATTGTGAACCCGAATTGGAGAGTACCAATTTACTGTGACGCAAAGTAGTCCTGCTTTTGAGACTAAAACGATTGTTAATTAGCTATCTATCTGCAGTAACAAAACAGTTATAAGACTTCAACCATTTAATTCGGGAATCGATCTATTCAAGAATTTAATAGAGTTGATGGTTGGCATTTATCTATCACCCGGAATCCTATTGTCGTGAAGATGATGAATCCAAATCAAAAAAAATTCAAGATTCGATTGGTTCGCTATGTGTGAAAAAAACGTAAAAATTCACAAATTTTATTGAAAAATAGACACAAGACCCGTCCATAGTCAAAGCGTCGGAAATACATAATATATGAGAGAGAGAGAGAGAGAGAGAGAGAGAGAGAGAGAGAGAGAAAGAGAAAGTGCATTATAGTCAATTAAGAACTTTTGAATTCTCAGATTGAAGTTTCTTAAATGATATTTCTCTCTTCTTTTTTTTGTTGCCCTTGTAGACGAGCATACGGACCACCCGATGGTGAGTGGTTACCGTCGCCCATGGACTTCAGCAATGCCAGGGGCAGAGCCAAACCGCTGCCTACCGCTTAATACTCTCCACAAGCCTATTTTAAAGAAGGACATGTCATAGCGCTCGTGAAACACCGTGGAGGGGAGCTCATTCCATAGCCGGATGGTGCGTGGCAAAAAAGACCTCTGGAAACGCACTGTCGATGAACGCCGCGGTTCCAGATAATATGGATGAACTCTGCTCCAATGGCGGGAAGTGCAATGATAAAAAGGAGTTTAAGGGATCAAAATATTGATATTCTGATATTTTCTTTCTAATATTCTAACATCCTTACAATACGTATATCATTGTTGCAGTCAGCATCGGCGCAAGCGGCTTTACAGGCGGCACAAGTCATATCGAATAGCGCTGGTGCGGCCATTGTTGCGGGCGGCGGTAACGCTTTGCAACCAGCTAATGGCGGTACAGAAATACAGGTATGAAAATCATTAGTGAGGGCCACAATAGTATTTTATATCGCTTGAAACGCTTTAGAGATCTCTTCAAATATACACTACATAACTATTGAATTGAATGAAGAAACATCTCAATATTTCTATACGCATTCTTGTGTTTGGATGTATAGTATGTAGTATGTGGAATTATTTATTCTTCTTTCTGGTCGTTCCCTCAATGCTGAGGATCGTGACTGTATGTCAATCTTCTCCACTCGGTCCGGTTCAGCGCCATATGTACCGCTCCCTGTATCTGGCCTGCAGTCACCTCCTTGAGTTGGTCCACCCATATAGCTGGCGCTCTTCCTCCAGCGCGCTTCCCCTCCATTTATCCGAGAATGATGAGTTTCTCCAGGCTGTGCAATGGTTTAGTAAGTAGGTTAAAAAATATATTTGTATGTATATTCGATACATATCACACATGGGAGCAGAGACTGATTTTAAATATATAAATGTATAGACATTGAACTCGGACATAAATGGCAAACGAAACAGTTCATTCTGGTGTCATCTGAATCGGCTACCAAATCCATGAATCTCCAGCAGCGGCTTGATTCAGTCCCAACATTAAAGAGCCGAACCATTAAACAACAAAAAACATCTAGTCAGCCAATGCATGATCGATCTATTCTCTTACATGAAATATTTAAACATTTTACAATGACATGGTGTACTGCACTATTAACCCTGTGATATCTATGAACTTCATTAACCACTAAGTGACCCGTGAGCTCGACATCTCATCTAGATCGACCTTTTTTTTTTGTTTAGAATAGTTTAGATGGTTGGACGAGCTCACAGCCCACTTGATGTTAAGTGGTTACTGGAGCCCATAGACATCTACAACGCAAATGCGCCACCCACTTTGAGATATAAGTTCTAAGGTCTCAAGTATAGTTACAACGGCTGCCTCACCCTTCAAACCGAAACGCATTACTGCTTCACGGCAGAAATAGGCGGGCTGGTGCAATAAAAATACATAAAACGGGTGCTTCACAGCGAAACCTTAATTTGCGCTCAACCCGACCTTAACGACAAAAGCCTATTACAAAATCCATCCTGAATACAACAACTGCTTCAATCAGATATCAATATTCCCTTTGGGCTAACGTTAAAATCAATTTCTGGGCAGTTTGTCGTATGCAGATTTCGATACTAGCTTATAAGACGCATCGTTAGATCGGTCACCCCGAGGCTCGATGGCATTTGAGCGGTCGCGACGGCCAATATGCTTGAAACAAAGCCTTGTCCATACACCGAACTATGCTATTCCGGAATTGTTTACTTACTTAACATACTACCAAATCGGATTTAAATATTTCGTAATCATCAAAACAATGTTTCAAATATTGAGTTATGACTGACTCGGTTGTCGAAAGCCGTGGCTTCTATTCCCACAACGGGCAAAGCTTCGTGTCACGAAAATATATATGTATCTATATATTAATACGTGAAGCAAAAACTTTGTACTCCTTTTAACGAAAATTGCGCCGACGGAGGAGTATAAAATTTCCCACTCTTATAGAGAATATAGAGAAGGAGTGCAGAATGCTAATATTTTTTTTGAATTATGCATTAATAATATATTAAATCAATAAGAAAATTTACACACACTACCATGTATTTGACACACACACATATACACACTCTTTGTTTAATGTCAAACTTTTGTTATTGCTTAAAGTCTGTGGTCAAATTAAGAATAGCTTATTATTGTATATCTTTAATATTATTTGCCTTTAGTTTGGTCTTGGCGAAATCTGTGAATAGAAAAGTCTATTAGTCTTTGACAATAGAACCATAATAATGTTCATTCAAACTTATAAATACAATTAATTGTAGTCGAATCACGACAACTGCGGGACCACTAGTATTTATAATAGTCTCTGAATTCCATAGTGAAGGAAAACCTCGCTAACAGATAGGTGACCATATGTGATATGTTCCCGATTATATTCTTTAATATATTCTTAGTTTGTATTAATTACAGTTTGATTCGATAGACCAAACAGTCATTAATGAACGATACTTAAAATTCGTGAACTTCATGTTTTACTTTGTGAGCGTTAATTTTTATTTCATCGTTGAGAGCATCACGCGCGCATAGATACTACAATGCCGCAAATGTTTGCCGAGAAGCAATCACTGTTTTTCGTTTTAAAAATAGCATATTTATACAAAACAATTGAAAATATGGTCTCGTTGGCTCCATATCAGGTAGGTTCTGAGATAGTTTACCTATGAAGAGTAATAAAAATACTTTAAGACGCTAAAAAAATAACAATTTCAATGAACTTACATAAGGGTAATGTATCATTATATTAGTACGATGACACAAACAACATTTGGTATATCAAACAAAATAAATATATACTCTTTATTTCTCGAACAGAAACACAATAATTACGATACAAATAGTACAAGTAAGAAAGGATCTCTCTTGAAATATACTCTCACATGTCAAGTTCTTAATCCTATATAAGTTTATTTTTTTTATCTACACTCACCGGATAACTTATAATACTCTAACTGACTGAAATACTTTCATTAACAAAAGTCGATTTCACAGTTGTATTTGTAAGGTAATTGCTCGTGGCATACAATGTGCCGTTTTAAAGCAACGTGCATTAATCAATTTAGTTTGATGATAATATGATATTTCAGGCGTTGAGTTACTCTTTATTTAAATTAATAACAATATGGTAATGCGTTGTTGAGTAACTCAAAAACGTATCGATATCCGACCGAACTTTCATAGCAAAAGTGAAGACAATACTGATTAGTAAGCTCCGTTTTATGTCTTTGTATTCAGCACACACAACAAAAGCTTGTATGCAATTAATTTAGCCCAATACAACGTCAAACTACAAATTTCAATATTGAGATCTGGCTGTGGGTAGCGGCTTTAAAGTTGTGATTTTATGAGCTCCGTTAACCACTTAGCACCAGATGAGCCGTGAGCTCGTGTTCCCAAATATGCAATAAATAAACCTTATTCTATTCTTTATTTAAATTCATTTACGTAAATTTTTTTATTATTTTGTGGGCATATTTAAATGATAAAAATATTTTGTATTGTTACAGGGCGGTCCCAATACAGTACTGCGTGTCATCATAGAGCATATGTTATATCCCATCGTTCTGGACGTCCTCTACTCGATCTTCCAACGCTACGGCAAGGTGCTCAAGATTGTAACTTTCACTAAAAACAGTAAGTTATTTTAATTATCATTCGTTTTGCATAAATATAGTAATGGTAGGTTAGCGCAGATGAGTAAGCGCACTTGAAGAAGTGGCCGATGACCGAAGACACCGGAAGACCCACTCGTAGTCAAAAATCGCAAAGAGAAAACAGTATTCTTCAAACAGGAAGGCAAGACTGCATCACAGGATCAAATGGGTAAGGTGATTGATAGTACCATGCAGATAGTGCGGCATAAGTCTTAAGGAAATTTCAACCTTTGCATTAGACGACTTCAGCTCTAACTCTAAGAGAGCAGGCTTAAGGACCCCGGTAATCGTACTTGTTGAACTCGACAAAGAGGTCAACGTACAAACTAACCCATGCATCAGCTCGCTGAGTTTCTCGCCAAATCATCTCAGCGGGTCGCGAAGCAGTTGGTCTTGAGTTGTTAAATCTCCTTCGGAGGCGCTCGGGCAGCTGTTAGCAAATCCCACTGCTCCTGACTGAGCCTTTGTTCGCCCACCTGTTCTGTTGAAACTGTAAGGGCCTCCGGCCCACCAGTAATCATTCAATCATAAAAAAAGGAAATTTTACAAATTCGTTGGCTAGATTTTATTTCAAGACTTCATCGTTATTGCAATTTGTGAACACCATTTGAACGTAATAGTCAGATTTGTTGTCTTCCGATGGTTCGACTCCGGCATAATCTCGATATCTTCAAATAGTATCTTACTTTATGTAATTGTGTATCGACTACAAAACCTTCAACATAAAAAAAAAATACGTAATTTTGTAACAACACGCAATAAGTAATTGTAGATATTACAAATGTATTCGCGACGAAATACATCCGTTGGTAAGCCTCTGATTGCAAATGCGTTTGTACATTACATCCCAGCAGGATTACACCGGCTAAAACCACTATTAATAAATCGAATCGAGGTGGGCTTTAAAATTAATTTCGCCCGCGTTATAGTGATAGATTTACCAAGCGTAACACAGGGCCGAAATCCAAGGGCGCAATCCGTTTAAAATTTAAATTGTACCCTCATGCATATCCTAAATAAATCCGGCACACAGGAGGCAGCAGGTAGGTACATATTTGATAAGCTCTCGGGTGAGCGTTGAGTCGGTGCTCACTCTCGCCTAATTATACTGGCGCCTAGTCGGAAACCTCAAATAAACTTTTATATAAAAACCTCGTCCCCTCGAAAAGTACACACCGACAAAATCAACGAAAAACATTACACAATATTTTAATGTTCGAATCCAGCTTTTCCCATTTATTTCCATGACATAAATCATTTATGTTTCCAAAAAAACGAATTACGTAAGTAAGTACTAAATAGCATAGAAATGCGTTTCCAAGCTAGTCCATAGATATACGACTAAAACCCACATTGAATTCGAGTTCTAAATTCAAAATCTAAATTGGATCGCATTTGTCATGGCCAAGTTAATCGAACGCAAACTCTTGGATGCACAAGGGTCCTCGCTAAACAGCATAGATGCTCATAACTCCTCTCGTATCACAGCACCTGTGCTAATGCAAGCGTTTCCAATTTCCGAACGTCGAGTTCGTGNGTCACCCACAACGACTAAAACCCACATTGAATTCGAGTTCTAAATTCAAAATCTAAATTGGATCGCATTTGTCATGGCCAAGTTAATCGAACGCAAACTCTTGGATGCACAAGGGTCCTCGCTAAACAGCATAGATGCTCATAACTCCTCTCGTATCACAGCACCTGTGCTAATGCAAGCGTTTCCAATTTCCGAACGTCGAGTTCGTGTTGTTCGGATTGTACCGATGACCGGCTGTTTGTTTTTTTAGCGCGTTCATCATTGTCCAATCGTAAAAAGCTTTAGGCTCGTACTATTTTCCGGTATTGTTCTTTTGAATATTCATGCGAGTATGAAACATTTCCAACCATAGACAGATAGAGTCGCGGTAATTTTTGTAAATTGCTTTGTAAACATACCGTGAATTTGCATAGTGTTTTCGTTGAAATCTGTTGGGAATGTTTATTTTATTTGTATCGAAATATTCAATGCTCCGAATGCCACAGCATTTCGTGTTTCAGAAGAGTATCTTTTCATATTACGTTCAAGATCTTCACAACGTGAAACGAAACGCTTATCTTTATTTTTTATATTATCTGTGCATTTTTTACTCAATCACGACTTTGGCGCCTTTTTTATAAATATTCACTTAATTTACCTAATTATTATTTTCGGATTAAAAATATATAGCATCACTTCCAAAAAACAGATTTATTAATTGTCCCGAGCGTGGACAATAAATATTTCAATGTTTTTTTCTATAGGTATTTTCCAATACTAAGTTGTTTCTTGATTGTTCCTAATTTCAAAAAAAGCTGGTGTTGGAAAACAAATCGATTTTATCTTGTATTAGTTGAACTTAGTAATATCTGTATTACATATACTTACACCATATACATCACAAACGAACTCAATAGCTGTACAAAGTTTCAACTAAATCCCACAAATACGATCACATAAGATAAACAAATAAATAATACTACTAAAAAACGGAGTTTTTAAAAACTTATTAGAAAACTCATTCTCTTCTCATTGTAATCATATTTTTTATTACTGGACTAGTGAGCTCGCTGATAGCCCACACAATATGAAATGGCTTCCGGGGCCCATAAAGATTAGCGCAATTGTAATATCTAATAATGATATTTATTTCATGCACATAATACTTAAAAGTCAAAACGTACCAAAACACGTACGCGCCTGAAAAGTTAGTGTGAATTCAGAAACCCGTGTAAGGAGATATTGGCGTCTAACCCAAAGTAGTTGGTACATCCGGAACGTATAAATTCTTACTTCAATTACCCGATCTCGTGGTAGCAAATACATAAACTACAATATTACATCTTATATTCGAATGTTATGAATAGTTTTCGCATCACGCACCAAAAGTCGCATTAAACCGCTTTTCTTGTCGTTCATACGAACTGATATACTTATGTATATGTCAAAGAGTTTATTTAATGGCAAAATTTAAAGCAATTTAAACCAACATACTGTGGAAATTTTGAACAAAAAATCCGTGTTTTTTTTTATTTGCTATTCATTGCCTTGAAAGGTTGACAAGTAGTGGTATCTGATAGTGAGTGGTACCCTCGCCCGTATTAGCAGTGCAGAAGTTAAATCGCTACCCATTCTTGGATTAATAAAGTGGTATTACTACTTAAGCATCTTATACGGTAGGCACCGATTCGACTATGCTCGAACTCCCATCGTTCAGAACTTGTTACTAAATTTTGATACGTGTTGTTTCACGCGTGCTACTTTCACGAGTCCCGTTGAAGTTTCTCTGATGAATATTAAGTTCGTGTATCGTGTTAATATTGAATGCGGACGGGGAATGTGATGACGGTTGTGCGCTCTTAGCGACAGGCTGCGACCTCACGGAGGTTACCATCAAACGCGCTCCTAATCCCGAAACAAATCTCAATGAAGAGCGCGGAGTCGCCGTAATCCTTCCCCCTTCGTGATCTCCTCGCCCCTCGTCTGCCCCGATTGGCTTTATTAAGGTGTAGCAGACCGCTACAATTATTATGCGTACCCTGTTTGCGGTACACGTCTTGTCTATTTCGTCGTCGGACCCCCTTAATTAAGGATTTGATTCGTCTACGGACATTGCGGTGTCTGAGTCTAAATCTTATGATCTCATTTCGGATGCCGTTCAGGCCTAACCGTCCAATATAAATTAACATGAAACTGTACTTAAGTGGCATGATCGACTTTTAAATTTATATTTAACTATCGGGTATCGGGTTTAGTATCGAGTCATATCTGAGACGGTCATTAGTTTGGTAGCTAAACGAAACACAGTACGATACGAGGCCCGTAGACACCTTAACACTTACCAACCAGCCTTCATGAAGAGCGGTGCCCTCGTCCAAGAACTGTCATTCATTTTCGTTGCTAATGTCAGGAGAAGATTTCTAAATTGTTTTAAAACAACAAACTTGATTGGTGTACTCAATATTTCTCTTAGCTCGATCACCCTATTCGTCCCTATGATGTGTGACGATGGTGTTAATAATTGTGGCTTCTCCGACATCTACTTACATCTGTTCGAGTCAGATTCACCAGTAGTATCCGAGTATCAGAGTTGAACGGTTAGCTGAAAAGACGCGTAATTTGCGAACGAGGACGCATTCAAGCTTGACGGAGCCCGTTCATTGCAGGGGAGATGTCGAGATTTAAGATATCAAATTATACTGTAATCGGTCGGCCGGCGACCGCCCGCCCTCTCGCTTAATATTAACATAGCGGAAGCAACCTCTTCGCTACAGCGAAATGCGGATTACGAAATTTTAATTTCACCGCAACTTCCATCTTGTGTTTACGCTGCCATCGATGTTTGAATATTCCATTATGTAATTGCGCTTTCCGCTTGAATTTTTAATGAAACTTAATGAAGCGGCGCGCACGCCGCCGATTGATTGAGATTTGAATAACTTGCGCGCAATCGGAACATCTTATTGAATTAGAACTTGAATATTTCAGCATGAATAAATAAACGAAGCAAGAGTGTCTGTCTAGCAGTCCGGCTCGTTTGTAAGAGTTTCACAGTTAACGGCTTGACGCAGCGTAACTTTTGAATCAATTAAATCATATGTACAGTACAGTATGAATTATTTAAGAAAATATTTTATGTACGTTATTGTGCATATATTTATGTAAAGTCATTATTTTTATTATTTTTTGGAACGAAGTTCCTTATGGAACGATGCGGAGGCGGATAGGGTACCGCTAACCGGGAAAAAAATGTCCGTAACGTAAGATTTTTATTAGTAATGCACACAGTGTACGACTTAACTTTGTAATAATGTACAAATTAGTAATACACACAGTGTACGACTTAACTTTGTAATAACGTACAAAAAATAACATATTTTTTTATCATTCATTGACCACGATCTCAGAGCGTTCGTTTGCGCAATATACTAACTCTTATGCAATCAACCGTGAATGAAGTGTACCACAATAAGCTCGCACGTTACCGTTTAACTATCTATGAAAGACACAGCGCGTTACTTTTAATTTACATTGACTATCGTATCTTTATTTATTTATTTATATATTTATTAAACTAATATGTTATAATAATTGTGGCTCACAGAGAAAAAAGTCCAAATGTCCAAAATGTCACACACATAAATAAAAAGCTAAAAAAAAATACAAAATAAAAATAACATTATCAAATTCATAAGTTAAGCCGCATTATCGTACAAAAAATACAAAAAGAACAAAACAGGTAGTTAGTAGTACAGGAGTACACTCACAACATCAAATTATTACTGTAAAAATAAATTATGAACATTAAATAGATCACTAACAACAAAGTAAACAAACTGTGTCTTGAGTGATTCTCTTCTCTATATTTTATAAGTCTTGCAAATTTATTAAGGGCAAGGGAATTAGCTGCGATGGGTCCGACGTGAGCGTGCATTATCTGTTCTCGCTGCCTATAAACTGGAGAGGCCATTTCGTTAACTTTTTTACAGTTTTAAAATAAGACTATTATAGAATATACTGAATACACGCCCAAATAGTATCGCGCGAATTTTCCGTCTTCCTCACCTAAAAAATACTTTGGGTTATCTTCAAGTACTAACATAACGCTACCTTATATAGGCGACCGACGTGGCTCTACCAATGTTTCCTAAAAATGTGAATTTATGTCCTCGGCCAACGGGCGGCAATGATCGCCCGGATCACGCCTTAAATTAGGGGGTTTAACGCTACTCCTCTCGCAGTAAATATACTCGACGACCAACTATATTACTTGCAAGGCCATTCACGTCGAATGCGAGAACATATCCAACTACTTTGTTCTTTTATTATTTATCACGGCCTTCTCGCTTTAGCTTTGTTAACAATAGTAACTATACAAAATATGCACTAAAATATTAAAGAGCTCAATTTTAAGTTTGCGATTATCTCTTAACACGCCGTCGTATCATCAAACTTTTAACAACAGCAGTCGCGAATGAGCTACTGAAGCAATAAATTTTGTAACTTCACGACTACCCCGAATGTAAAATAGGCGCAAAACTTACGTGCTCGAATATTTACTGAAGTGTTGTACATGATAAAATAGCTGTGTTGCACCTGAGACGGGACTTACTCTTGATGACGCATGGGTTCAGGTCTGCCCCACGTTGGGCGCCAATTTCGTCTTCATTGTCCGCATATTGTAAATAATATTTTACGAAGTATCCATTAATAATTTCTAAGGCACGAAAACGGTCACGCAATTTTTGAATTTGCTTTAGAGAGCCCTGTTGAAATACTACAAATACTTTTAACGGTAGAATTCGGGAGAAGTTGCGAATTATTCCGAGTTTAAATCCACTGATAATAATGTAAATGTATTTTGTTTTCAGATTCATTCCAAGCTCTCATTCAGTATCCAGACACGGTGTCGGCGCAAACAGCAAAAACGGTGAGCACTAAAGACTTCTTTGTTTTTATTTAACTGTTTGTAAAGCAATGCCATAAAACAAAGTTCCTATTGCCGCACGTTTCATTCACTTTAATGACTCGCTTTCGAACTATCCTCGGTATGAAGTCTTCTTATCTACTCCGCTCCGACTGCGTAGGTACCAAAGTTTCATATTGATAGTTGCAATTATGTATTTGTAGCCACTTTGTTGTATTCAGCGTCATAATCGACCGCATTCGTAATTATGAAGCTCGACCTTTTGTTCCTGATTACGGATTAAGTCGAACAATAGCAAAACATATCTCATAATTTGAAATGAACATCGCTCAAATTTAAACATGTGTAAAATTAGAACATATGTTTTTTTTATTGCTTAGGTGGGTGGACGAGCTCACAGCCCATCTGGTGTTAAGTGGTTACTGGAGCCCATGGACATCTACAACGTAAATGCGCCACCCACCTTGAGATATAAGTTCTAAGATCTCAGTATAGTTACAACGGCTGCTCCACCCTTCAAACCGAAACGCATTACTGCTTCACGGCAGAAATAGGCAGGGCGGTGTTATCTACCCGCGGGGACTCTCAAGAGGTCCTACCACCAGTAAAAACTGTTTTCAAACATACGCGTATGTGTAATTCATATGACAGTATAAAGTTTATAAATCAGATTATTCAGAATAGGTACTACTACTAGTTCTATGCGAAAGCAGCTTTAATGTTTTTGTACGTTCGTGGTTGTTGAAAGTATAAGTTACAACAGAACGTTTACGTACATTTAATAACAATAATATCGGTAAGCAGAGCGGCGGCTGCGAGTCCGCGACAATAGCCCTCGCCCGCTACCGAGTGGGACATCATTTTTCTCGACCCAACTTTTCCTATTCACTATTCATTTGCGTTAGAAGTTGGACGTACGGCGGCCGGCTGCAACGACTGTTTTAACTTTATTTCTGATGCAGCGTTCAGGGCAAATTAAATTTCGTTTTGTGGCTTCCGCAAACTCAGTTCGCGAACATAATTATCGAAGCTTTCCGTCGGCGCGCCGCTATGAATCTCGGTAATTTTATTACGAGTCGATAGCAGAACAATTTTATTTAACGTTATTGAAACACGACAATGAAATCGATAACGCACGTAATCGATAATAGAGGGCCCGAATACAAAAACAAATTTTGAAAAGCTTGTTACTCTGTTCATTTGTCGAATTTGCCTGTAATACCCCTGTCGGCGGAGTACAATTCGCTAATGAATTCTACAATAGCGACTCGACTAGTCGTCCTAATTAGTCGCTCTTTACGCCCGATTCCTGTGGAGTGCTGTCGGTACAAGTGTAAAAGTGAAGCGTATTAATATCATTCTGCTTTCATTAACGTGCCGGACAATAGAATATTATAAGTTACAAAACGCTATTCGCTCGTGGCTTATTTATGAAATTAATGTTCTGTAGCGAGGAAACCCGTCATGAAATTGAGATATCACCAGCAAAGCGTAGTGGTGAAAACTTAGCAACGCTAAGTCTCATCAACTCGACTCTGCTAATGGAGTCCGCTTTAATAGAAATAAAGTCCGCACGGAATACTTGTTTCAAATGCGGCTTCCTAAATTTAAACATTAACTTCACGTTTTGAAGTGGCCAGTAATTGAAATTTTAAAACAAACCGAAATACCATTTGGATGTGGCACCTTTTATTATTTACAAAACGTCACTCGAATTATGCTTTTAACATCGACATCTTAGCGATAAGTTTTAACCCACAGACACAGCCCACAGAGTTTCTCGCCGGATCTTCTCAGTAGGTCGGGTTTCCGATCCGGTGGTAGATTCTGCTCTTGCTAGGGCCAATGTTAGGACCACTCCGGTTTGAGCCCCGTGAGCTCACCTACACGTTAGGGCGAAGCTGATATAGCCTCTCAAGTCTATCAGCATATGTAGGAAAAAAAAGACGACAAAAAAAAGTTTACATGAAGTCACACATGAAGTCTGATTTTGTAGTAAACAAAAAATGGAAATAAAAACAGTACATTAGAGTAACTACGTAGCCTGCACTGCTGCGGGAGACCGAGTGTACATTACGTATTAGCCGCGTAGTAACAATGCATTAGCAGTAGCATTATGGCGCTCGCTACTGCAATAAGTCTGGCACCAGTTAACATATCTGATAACATAACTGAGCTTTTCAAATATCAACTAACAAGTCTAAAAATACTACGAAATCTTCTAATTTTGCCTGAAGGAAAAAGGCACTCAACTGAGAAAATCAAGTTCAAATATTCTGTTACATACACACAAAAATACATACGCATCTAGCTTAATACGTATGTATGTAATAAGAGCGTATTATAAATACTAGGTACATACAAGGTACCATATTATATATCGTACAGACGATATCGCTCGACAAACTGACATCACTTACGTGATGTTATTCGGAAAAAGTTAGACGAGAGAGCTGTAATCCGCGCAACTCCTCACGAAACCACTCGGGAAGGAACTGGCCACGAATTTTTCTCGAAATGGAATTAAAACGTCCCGCGAGTTAAGTGGCAACACAAGTAAGAGGTACAAAGTGAAGTGAACCCGGATAGTGCTCCAGGCACAAAGGGCACAGTCGGATGTTAGGAGCGCTGAAATCCCTCGATCCCTACCTCTATGATCCTTGACATAAATCTCTAACCTCGCCAAATCTTTCAGAGGGCAGCCTGTATACGCAGACACGAAACGTACGCTTTTAATGCGCTGATTTTAAATTTTATTTTTGAGATAGCCTTTGATTTTACACTCTTTTTTTTTTTTGGAATGAAGTTCCTTACGAGACGATGCGGAGGGGTACCCTAACCGAGAAAAAACGTCCGTAACGTAAGATTTGTATTAGTAATGCACACAGCGTACGGCTTAACTTTGTAATAACGTAGAAATTAGTAATGCACACAGTGTACGACTTAACTTTGTAATAACGTACAAAAAATAACATATTTTTTTTATCATTCATTGATCACGATCTCAGAGCCTTCTTTTGCGCAATATACTAACTTTTATGCAAACAACCGTGAATGAAGTGTACCACAATAAGTTCGCACGTTACCGAACGACCGTGGGTTGTAGCGAAACCTCCAGTTTTATTTTCTTTATAACTACCTCGAAAATAACTTAAAATTAATATTTTTTTAATAACGAACTTCGTTCATATCCGGTGTCCCACGACACCACACATCTTTTTTTTATTGTTTAAAAGGGTGGACGACCTGGTGTTAAGTGGTTACTGGAGGCATAGACATCTACAACGTAAATGCGCCATGCACTTTGAGATATAAGTTCTAAGGTCTCAGTATACACGGCGGCCCCACCCTTCAAACCGAAACGCGTTACTGCTTCACAGCAGAAATAGGCGGGGTGGTGGTACCTACCCGTGCGGACTCACAAGAGGTCCTGCCACCAGTAATTACGCAAATTATAATTTTGCGGGTTTGATTTTTATTACACGATGCTATTCTTTCACCGTGGAAGTCAATCGTGAACATTCGGTTAAAATAGTGATAAAGCAAGTTCTTTTTGACACGATATTCAAAATCACTCTGATACAACTGACATCATTGAAAAGTGAATATGAAAGATCAATCACATCGCCTTCAACTGAAGATGTAGAAAGACTATGATGTAGTTGAAAACATGTTCAAATTACGCAACAATCATTAGTCAGTCGCAGTAGGACCAACGTTAATCAGACCGCAGCCGCTCCATCAGTAAGTTATGATTGATAGCAATTTGATTCATGCGGGATTCTGGACCACTGTTACTGCCTCATCCATAACTAGACTGCCCCGTCACTGACAATCCTTATTATCACAATTCAAAGCAAACTATCATTCGTTAGCGTATTGTATCTTATTTAAGCCGTAAACTAGTTAGTTTCTTTCTTTATGTCTTTGTAAATCGGTTAAATGTAAAGAAATCATACATAGAAAAGTTAATAAACTTAATACACCAAAACTGCTTAATTTCTATGCACTGTTAGAATCCACTAGTATTTATTATTTAAAATAAATATCTAATTCTTGTTCTATATCATTATACTGATACTGCTGAGTATTGAATTCTGTTAATAAATAATAATCTAAATTAGATTGAAATTATGAATTACATTCATATTTATATTATTGTATTAAAATTTTATAGTTAGCTATATACTTTTTTACTTACTACATACATAGATCTAAATGAATAAAAACATATTTTTGTATCTAAGTTGTTTCCATTGTATGTTCCTAAACAATTATCCGATTATGATGAAACTTGATACAGTTGTTGTTCTTAGCACCCCACGGGTGGTTTTTGTGATAAAACCATCAGCGAACGATAGATGGCCCGCAAATATGTTTTATTATTGTTTCAAAGCATTAAATGTTTTCACAGAATTAATTATATTCTTAAGAAGTTACGAAAGTTGCGCCTTTTTTTTAATAACGTTATAAAATTGCCAAGAACTATTTCAAAAGAGATTTACATAACAAAGTTTCACTTCTTCGTTATAAAGCGAAGCAAATATGAAAAGATTATTTTTCGCCTCGGAGGTTCAATAAGGCGAAATCCGAGATAGCGTTTATGGACTCAAGGTGCGAGCTTTGTTTACATTTTAAAATTGCACTTTGCACTGCGGCTACGTCTTACCGGTGTCTTTGTGTCAACAAAAGAACGTGCTCAAACAATGTAACGACAAAAATGTTATATCTCCGCTTGGAGTCCTCTGTAATAACTCGCGTCGTGCGATTGGTGTTCCACGCTACCAGTATGTTTGTAGTAACTACGAAATCGCTTTTTTTTTTGAGAAAAATGCTTATTATCCTTTAAAATACATATTATAATATCTTCTTTTTTTTTATTATTATTATCCTCTAAAATATATTTAAAAAATATACGCATCACACAAGAGAACAAACTTGGATTGTGTTGTTGAAATACATCACGGAAATTACGTTTTTAAAACAATGTTCACGATATAAAT